GAACCAATGCCAATCTGCAGAATCTCCTGACAATTCTTTGAGTCATAACCAACCTGCTTCAACCCCTGTTGCGAGTACACAAACATCAGAAAGCGTGCAGCGCAGCATGACCAAGGCAGCTTATAGCAAGGCAGCTTATAGCAAGGCAGCTTATAGCAAGCCAACTTATAGCCAAGGCAACTTATAGCAAGTCATAGCGGGGGGGCGGGCAGGTAGGCAGGTGGGTACACAGCAACACGGCGGAGCCCGCAACACAGATAGCAAGACTAACTTATAGCAAGGCAGCTTATAGCAAGGCAGCTTATAGCAAGGCAACTTATAGCAAGGCATAGCGGGAGGGCGGGCAGGTAGGCAGGCGGGTACACAGCAACACAGCAGAGCCCACAGCTCGGAATGCAATAGACAGCATATAGCAATGCAGGTGGGTGGACAGGCAGGCAAGGGGGCAGGAGGGCGGGGCCAGAACAACACAGCAAGGCACGTGGCATGACCCATAACAGCGCAGGAAGACACATGGCATGCAACACAGCAACTCAGCAAGACACGCAGGAAAGCAAGCGGACAGCGACAACACAGAAACCCATGGATGCAGCCAGGATAAAAGTGGACTATCACCTACTCACATGGTATGCAGATATTTGTACTGCCAGAATGTAGGTTCACCCAACCATCAACAACAACCAAGAACCCACAAGACGAATGTCTGTCACCACCAGGAAACACACAGAGCACAGGCATCCCGGATACAGCAGTCCGCCAGGCAGTCCTAACAAATGGGCACTGACTGTTTGGCACATCTTGAAGGTGCTGGCCTTGGACACTGAAGAGAGCACGGAGGGAACAGAGAGGGAACAGATATACAAAAAAGTAAAATAAAATGAATGTGTGTGTGTGTGTGTGTGTGTGTGTGTGTGTGTGTGTGTGTGTGTGTGTGTGTGTGTGTGTGTGTGCGTGCGTGCATGCAGGTCTGGTGATGGTCAGGAAGGAAGGGGAGTTTAACCGATTGATGTGGTTTTGCTGTTGTGGATGGGCAGATGGAACCATTGGCAGTTGCAGAAACACCGTTGGACTTGGTAAAAAATGTGGAGCAGCTTCAGCTGGACAAGCACCTTCGCAACTTTCACCTCTCTCATGAGAGGCTAGCATGGGCTCATCAACGAATGGATCGTAAAGGTGTGAAATTTGTTCCCTTTTAAACCACCACTACCTTTCCAAGCTGTAGTCCCATTTGGGAAAATGACGTCAAGCGCAAAGTTCGGGGGTCCGGGCGAGGGTTGGCAAAAACAAAACATTTGGGCCTTGTGGGCCCGATCAGAGAAAAAAAAAGAAAAAAGGAAAAGAAAGGAAAAAAAAAAAAGAAAAAAGAAAAAAGAAAAAAGAAAAAAGAAAAAAGAAAAAAGAAAAAAGAAACTGTAGACAGTGTAGAGTTGAAAGGAAGGACATTGGGGAAAGCCACGAAGGAACTGTGCTCACAGCAGTGCCTCCAGGAATGCATCTGCCGAGAATCATCGATAGTTTCGTTTTTTTTTTTTTGTGTTTTTTTTTTTTTTTTTACTTCTTAGTTTTAGTGCCCTGCCGACGAGGCAGGGCGTTGTCCACGGATAACTGACAGTTGCAACCAACAGGGCACTCTCACATGTACTCAAGATTCTGTATCCAGCTGCTTTTACGTCCAAAGAGTCGTTGCTGTTTTTGCTTTTTTTTTTTTTTTTTTTTTTTTTTTTTTTTTTTTTTTTGTTTTTTTTTTTTTTTTTTTTTTTTTTTTTTTTTTTTTTTTTTTTTCCACTCGGGCTGCCTGGAACCCTGCCAAGGAGGGGGTCATGCCTGGCCGGGCAGTCGGGCGTGTATCCGGGCACAAGTTGGGTACCCGGGCGCTTGAAAAAACAACCTTGATCTACCGTAGTTTCAAGTTTAGATGAGTTTTACAATTAGCGTCATAATTTTCTTCTTACTTTTTACTGTCAAGGTGCTTGATATTAAAGCTTTTTGATATCAGCGTTACCTTTTGGAAGCAAAATTGAAATCTTTATGTACAAGTGGATAAGTGTACTAAGACAAAAAATAACTGCCTTTGAAAAACCTTAACCATTTTATCTATGTTATAATATTCTTGTTGGTATTATTCTTATTGCTATTAGAGTATTACATCCATATGTCGTTCACGACCGTGACCAGCTTGGATAAACACTCTTCTTTAGGAGTATAGTAGTCATTTGTAATTGTTTAGGTTCATCGTGGTTCATCGTCCCTTCGACTGTTCTTTGGCCGTTTTTTTGAGGTAGGTGTAAGCTCGTACATTCATTCAAAGAACAAAGGCAATATCTCATACTGGTGCATAATACTGCATATGCTTATACACCCAACAATCTATATGTAGATGCTCTAGTACACGTACAGGGTAAGCATTTACCTTCCGTTATCTCTCCACGGATCTTTCTTCACCTATTACGTCAGGTTAGGACATGCCCTGTCACCGTACGATGTTGATAACAAAAAGGTAAATGCTTATTATTGACCTTCCGTTCCTGGCCTATCAAATCTTGTTCATTCCAAAACTGTATCTACTTCGCTAGTGGAACTCTCCACCCTCTCCTAAGGATCGTTGTTTATAGATCAGATTGTTTACGAGTATATCCTTCTTTAGATTACGGGTATAGGGAGCCTTTTCCCAAAGTTAGCCACACATTTTCCCATTCATCCCGTTGTAAGTCCAATATGCCAGCCACCCTTAGAACACCTCTTTAGGCAGACATCCAGGATGTCCGTTAGGCGAAGAGGATTACCCTGCGCCCATTGGCAATGCTCCTGTTTCCAAAAAGAGGCTGCCCTCAGACTAGGCTAAAAGCCATAACTTTTCAGATCCTTGTGGCTTGTTTTCTGGGCGATTGACGACCCTGACCCTTACCTCCTGTAGGGATCAACCATGTTCTGTTCGCTAATGAAAATGGATGTCCTTGTGTCTGGGACCAGTCTTCTGAGTTGCTCAGGCGCAATTGCTAGCCAGCTGGCTGATGTTCCCCAAAATAGCCATTTTGCCATCTTTGCCAGGAGGGCCTTGCATTGCATGTGATTCTATCCCAACTCCCCCCTCTACTCCTAACCCTTTCAGCCATGGACATCGATCCTGGTATGGCGGGCAGGTCAGCCCTCACTGGACTATGGCCAGGCCTCTTTGCAGGGAGATCCTAGGGCCAATCTGAGGAGGTCAAAATCCACTCATTTTGGATCCTGGGATGTTGATCTAGCATACTTCAGTGGAGCCTAACCCAGGACAAGATGAGGCCTTCACGATAGGTAGCGCTAAGTTCGTGCTATGGGCAGCTTAGCACGAGCATAGCAGTATTGGGCCATGGTCGTTGCAGACGTTGTCTGTTGCGATGGCCGTGCCGTACCCACTACAAGGCAGTGGGGCGTGGTCATTGTAAGGGCGAGGCCACACTACGGGTAGTGAGAGTGATTGGATTCGATCTTTGCGCTTTGGGGCAACGACGCAGTCAACGAGGGCTAACCGGGGGCAAGGTCCCACTTGCGCAAATTAGGAGATTTCGGCCGTTGATCTTTGCTCTATACGGTCAGTATCTCTTAATTCGTGCAAGTGGGACCTAGCCCCGAGACGCGTCTATTGCTGGTTGAAAGTGATTGGATTCTTTTATTTTTATTTTTTATGCAAGTGATTGGATTCAACGCTTGAACCTGGATGAGTTTGGGCAGGAAACATTTAGAAAATCGCCATAACATTTAGAAAATCGCCATAAGGGCGAGGCCACACCAGCAAAGAGGATTGGATTCCGCGCTTGAATCTGGACGCGTTTGTGCATACGTGCAGAAAATCGCAAATTGACCTGCTTTTCTGCGCCCAAGCCTCTTTGGTGTTGGGACCGCGCCCGCTGTCGTCCGTTACCGACGCTGACTTGTACAGTACCGACTACGCAATTTTATTTTGTTTTTTCCCCCCTAAAAGGGAGCTTACCTCTCTCGGTGGAGGGAGGTAACGGGGCCATATTTGCCCCTGTGCCCTCGTAGGGTTTAGGGTGCAGGTTGGGGCCGCCGGTGTGGGCCGGGCAGAACGTGAGGTGAGAGAAAATAGATATGACCGGGGGCTAGGTCCCAGTTGCACGAATTAAGAGATACTGACCGTAGATAGCAAAGATCAACGGCCGAAATCTCCTAATTTGCGCAAGTGGGACCTTGCCCTGGCATTAGGTAATTGAAGATCGTTTTATTTACTTATTTATTTATTTTTTTTAAACGGGAAATCTGCTAGGAGAGGTGATACGAGCATCCCCCCCTATCAGGTTTCCTGGTTGCTCCAGTCTATTGGTGGGAAGCCGCACCTGCTGGAAATCGGGTCCAGCGTTTAGTCATTCGACTTCGGAGGTGCTCGAACTCAGTCTATATATTTCAACAGTTCAGAGATAGGCGGATTGGTAACTCCGCAATTTTATTTATTTATTTATTTATATTATTATTATTTTTTCCCAATTTCATTTCACATCTCAACACCTTCACAAGCCATGCCATGGCCGCGGTAAACCCGCAGGAAAGGGGGGCGTTATTTGCTTATCAGTGTGAACTGTCACTGTGGGTGCTTTTTTGAAGTTGAAGGGCGGGCCTCAACGGTCCAATCGCATCCCAGGAGTCGTTCTGAGGCATCAGCGAGAAGCCGCCGCCGTCGACGACGACAACGACGGGCGACGAGCGGGTATCATACACGTGGCGTGTCATTCATGGCCTCTTCAAAGATTCTCGTCCGCCCGTGCCGAGCGATCAGCGGGGTCAAATGTGATTTGGCGGGAAGTTTTGGACCGAGGGCGAGGCAATCGAGTGCGTGGCGCCTATTCCACGACCCCCTCAACCCCTTTAAACCCCTCAAACCCCTGACAGGTTGCCGCGAGGCGTGGGAATGGAAATGGGGGAGGAAAATCCGGCACAGAAGCGGCGATGGGGGGTGGATTCCGGTTCAGCTTCGGCGGGATCCGGTTCCGCTTCGGCGGCGGACGGTGTCGATCGGCCGACCTGCGGGCGGCCAATGCCACTGGCGATGGCTGTCCAGGGGCGCGGGAACCGGGCGTCAATTTTTCCACGTTCTGTGTGGTTCAGGGCGCCAAGAAGCCGGCGGGTGCTTCGTCTCGCCGCCGGCCGAGACTGCCACGTGGCTTACGCACGCGCGCCGACGGATGCTGGAAGCGGGTGACGTGGCGCTGTTCCGGCACACGGGTGGGGAGCTCAGTCGCTACGCCCATGACCTTTTGAAACACAGACCGGAGTTTGACACCCTCGAGCCGCCAGATGGCGCCACGTCAGCAGCAGGCAATCTCTGGCCGCCACGTTGGACGATCTGCTCTTCCTCCTTCGATCGGCCAAATGCTTTGTCGACCGGCGGCGGCACTAGACCTGAGTTCGAAACCCTCGAGCCGCCAGATGGCGCCACGTCAGCACGAGATAATCTCTGGGCGCCACCTGGAACGACCTGCTCCTCCTCTGATTGGCCTACCGGTAGTGGTTTGTCGAGGGGTGGCAGCAGGCCACGTGTCTGGCCATGGTTCGTTCTCGTGACCTCTCGTCATCGTCTGTACGCGTCCGCATTCAACGTAGAAGCGGAGTGGATGGGCAATCATGCGCTTCACGTTCCACATTTATTCGGGGCCGTGTACGACGACGATGGGGGAGACGGGAGAGATGGGAGAGATGGGAGAGAGGAGGAGAAGTCTGGGACTGTGAAGAACTGCCTGATGGTGCGGAGATGGCAGAGTATGAACGGGCTTCGTCTCGTGGTAAGGTGCGTGAATCTACCAACCTGCGCATCAATCAAGTATCGCTCCGCTCATGAACTGTTCATCGGAACGACCTACGCTCGACTCCAGATTATGATTTTTTTTATTTTTTTTTTGAAACTCCAGATGATGAATTTTTAGATGAGTGCCATTCTTGAATTGCCTCGGGCAGGCGAGTTGGACGATGACATCTCAAAACCGTGGCTACAGTCTTCCCCCGAATACAACGTACGGACATTATAGCTGAATTTAGACTGAAAGATGCGCCAAATTCAGCTATAATGACCGTACTTTGTATTCGGGGGAAGAAGGTATGCCATCTGATAGCATCTGGATTCGAACTCGGGGTCCGTGTTTCAAGATGTCATAGGTGTGTACCAACGTAGCTAGGCCCGTCCGTATACAAGCTCTACCTTTGCGGCGGCCCACGTGATCTCTTCATCAGTGCAAGGGCACCTTGCCCCTGCATTTCCCTCGATGTTTAGAATCTACGGCCGGAAATGAAATGAGGAACCTTTTTTTTTTTTTTTTTTTTTTTTTCTGCAGTAAATTAGACCTCTCGCCTGGGGCGCACGATCCCAGAGGTCCCTTTTTTTTTTTTTTGGGTTTCTGGCCATCGTTCTTCTTCTCAATTATGGCCAGAAACTGAGAATCTATGAAATTCAAAGTGGGGACCTCTGTGCCCCTGCTGGATTTCGTCAGCCAACTTGTTTTTTTTTTTCTTTACAATTTCTATCTGCACTTCGAAATTTCAGAAGCATACAGTTCACATAACTGTTCTTTTATTTCTGACCATTGATCTTCTCAATCTATGGCCGGCATTCATTCCAAGTGGATTATTAAGCTAAAGATTAACCAGCTTGTAATTGCTGACTCAATTTTTTTTGACACCATAAATGATCTGGTACTGACTGCCCCAGCTCAGTTGGTACACCCATGAACTGTTGAAAAACAGACCTCAGTTCGAATTCCGATAGAATCCGATGAGTAAACATACCTCTGAATTTACCTGGGGTCGGTCAGTCCAAAGAGGATATCTTTCTCCGCCATTTGGCTGAGATCAAGAGTAGCATTTTTGCACGTGTGCTGCTGAGTAGTAGAAGAATGGGTTTCCGAGACACACACACACACACACACAGAAACATACACAGAGAGAGAGAGAGAGAGAGAGAGAGAGAGAGAGAGAGAGAGAGAGAGAGAGAGAGAGAGAGAGAGAGAGAGAGAGAGAGAGA